CAAAGCAAGTGGGGAAAGAGAATTCGGATATATCAACGTAGTTGCTTCAGCCAGTTTATCTTTAAGCTGTTTAATAGCTTCGATGGCGTCAGAAGACAGTTTGAATTCTTTTGGTTTTCCTTTAAGTGAATCTGTCAAAGGTTGCATTAATTGTGCACAACCTGGTATGAATCTGCGATAAAAGTTTATTAGGCCTAGAAAACTTCTCAGTTGTGTTAGAGAACTAGGTACGGGATATTGTTTGATAGTATCCACTTCTTTTTTTATAGGTTTAATCCCTTCTGGGCTTATTGTGTGACCGAGAAATTCTAAAGTTTGAACACCGAAAACACACTTACTTTGATGTATGTTTATTCCATGTTCATCCAGTCTTTTCAACACTGCTTGTACATGCTGTTCGTGTGATTGCAAATCGGGGCTGGCAATTAACAAGTCGTCTATATACCCCTGCGCAAATGGCATATCTCGAAGTAGGTTATCTATGAATCTTTGAAATGTCTGTGCCGCATTTCTCAGGCCGAATGGCATGCGTACAAACTCGAATAAGCCAAAGGGTGTAGTAATAGCTGTCTTGGGAATATCTTCATCAGCCACCGGGATATTGTGATATGCCCTGACTAAGTCAATTTTAGTGAATATGTTCATACCCTGTAAACCGTTGGTGAAATCTTGGATATGAGGTATTGGGTACCTATCAGGTACGGTTTGACGGTTTAGGGCTCTGTAATCCCCGCACGGTCGCCAGTCACCTTCATTTTTCTTTGGGACCATATGCAAAGGGGATGCCCATTGACTATCAGAGGGACGGATGATACCCAATTGTAGCATATAATCAAACTCGGCCCTAGCGATTTTGAGCTTATCTGGTGCTAGTCTCCTGGGTTTTGCAAACACCGGTGCACCTTCGGTTTTGATAGTGTGACTCACTTTTAGTTTGCTTTTAGAAGGCTGTGGGTTTGGTTTAGTTAAGTTTGGAAATTCCGCGAGTATATCTTGGAATTTCGCTGTTGTTACTGGAGGGGTCTGAATCAAGTTAAGAGAGCTGATGTGACTTTCTTTGCCTTTTGTGTAATACGAAGTTTCTTTTAGTGTTAATCGCCGTTTCTTGGTGTCAACTAGAAATTCGTATCTCTCTAGAAAGTCCATCCCCAGTATTGCCAGATCTAAGTCGGCTACCGTGAAAACCCAAGGGAATTGCCTCCTGAACCCCAAATCTAGGGTTAAAGTTTTCTGCCCAAATGTCGCAATTTTAGTTTTATTTGCAGCTTGAAGTGTAATTGATGATGTTTCTCGACTAATCTCAGTTTTATTTTGAGGGATGATGCTAAGAGCAGCGCCAGTATCCACCAAGAAATTCAAGCCCGAGTTTCTGTCTCTAACATAAAACAAGCGACTGTTTAGGCGCCCCTCCTCAGTTGTCGCGACCTGGGGAGGGGTTACTCGTTTCCCGCTGACTTAGAATTATGCTTAGGCCAGGCGCATGGTTGCATGCACTTGGTTGAGTTGACACCAAACTTCCAGTGGTACCAACAAAACTGCCCAGATTGTCTGGACATTTGTGACCTGTTTTGTGACTTGGATCGTGGTCGTTGCGGTGACCTGCTCCTGTTTCTATGACCCATTTGCATTCTGGTGACAGCCTCAGTGAGACTCTTAACACTCGCAATGAGCCCTTCTATTACGGGGTCTTTTGCTGAATCTACTTTTTGTGTGTGATTTATTATGCCTGATCCAGTTGGAGGACCTCTTTCCATTATTCTGTCGGCTATACGCGCTAAATGAGATAATGAGGTTTCAGGATCCTGTGCATCCAAACAGTGTTGGACGTAGCATGGGAGAGCTTGTATCCATCCTTGTTTTAGGACTGCTTCACCCACTGTGTTATCACCCACTAAGACTTGGAGGTGACGTAAAAACTGTGACGGCGACCGATCACCTAGTGTTTCACCTTGAAAAAGTCTTTGGATTCTTTGACCATCTGATAATGATAAACGGTTCATTATCTCTCGTCTTAAGATGGTGTATGGTTGTGGTGATGGTGGACTCAAAATCAAGTCACGGACTTCTTTGGCGACTGAAGGAGGAAGGATAGAACACAAGTCTCTATAGCGAATCCCTTCAGATTTGATATTGTGTCTCGTGAAATAATGCTCTAGTTGAGCAAACCACAACTCAGGATCACTACGATCAAATTCTGGAAGTCGGGATTTCGTAGTCATAACAGTGTCTATCTCCACTGGTGACAAATCCTCCAGATTATGGGTTTCTATTGAGTCTGACATGAGGTATGTGGCAAATATAACAATAAAGTTAGCACAAAAAGTGGTTACTATAACACGAATAACTTAAGATAATACGGAATACACTAGTTATATACTCAAATTAGTTTACGGATAATCAGGTCTGCTTTTACGATTAAGTAAAAAAAATGTTAATAACAGAAATGAGGTTAAATTTGTGTTCAAAAAGGGCTCACCAATTTCGTGCCTTAAGGTAACCCTCGTGCTATTGATAGAAGAAACCAGAGAAGTAGTGAATAGGTCTTTATTTCGATCTCAGCGCGACGACAGTGGAGCGTGGGATTATCTGTTCAGACAAACAAAGGCTCTCAACATTCAATATAAGATAATAGGGAATATAACGCTTATACAAAACAAGGAAGTGGATGAATACTTGAACAATACTGTTTTGGCATATGCTTGGTTGTTTGGGGTCAACTCTTAACCAACCAACCTAAGCTGTTACAGATACATATATTTACGAGTTTCAACAGTGTATTTATTAATGTCGATATCTTTGAACATTGTATACTCAAATCTGGTGTTCAATCCTATTACTATCACCCTAGATTTCCGATTTTCTGTTTAGTCTAATGTAACTGACTCAAAACGTTTTAGGCTTGAGCTCCCATATTTTCTACCAGAAGTAAAAGAAATGTGAACGTGCAAAAAATCTTATCAGTATGGGGTTGTGGAGATTATTAAGTTTTGATTGAGATCATGAACCAATTGATGCTAGATCACCATTGAAAGCCTGGAAGCGCTGGACGGCCGATTCATCCTATTGTCGGACTCTTCAACAGTGCGCATCCACAGTCCCGCTCGCGGGACTCGAGCCCAGGGCCTTCGGTTTCGCACGCGAACGCTTAATCTGTAGACCACTGAGCCAACATCCAACGGTGTTAATGTCTAACCTCAACCAGTCCACGAAGTGGCGCTACCATCTTCCATTATACTGAGGTAGATACCTGTCTCTACTTGACACGGACTAGCTCCACTGGTCGCAGCTAGTCACTAGTGAGCACATGGGAATCTCATTAAAAAATTCTTATATTAAGAATCGTACTTTGTGGGATACTTCTCTGTTCATAAGTAGATTTCCGTTTGGAAATTCTACGTTGTGAGTGTTCTTTTGTTTACCAAATTACTGTCCTTCATTATTTATGTGAGGTAATTTTTTTAACTGATAACTGGCGAAACACACCAACAGCTAAAATACAAATTAATCGGCTTTTCAAATAAATAAACGGCAGTCTTACAGAATGAATGAGTAATGATGTTACGTCGGTACAAATTTGCGTAATGTACAATTGCTACAGATCTGTATTTTGCTTCACTTAGTATTGTCAGTGTTATCGTTACAATAGTAAAATACTAGTATTGTAAGTAGACTGAGAAACTGTATAAAAGTTGTGATAATAAAACTAAATTTAGCAATGGATAGCTTATATGAAAGGAGTAAAATGAACTTACTGTTGATGGTCATTATGGTTATTCTTGTAATTAGACTATTCTCGTATATAAATTACGAGACAGTTATTCAACCATGAACTCACAACCTATATAATGACATGGAGGCGATCAACTCTGCATTCTAGGCTGAAAACTGGACGATTGACTTGGTGTCTTCAGGATAAAAGACATGAACTAATTTCAGACGGTTACATTATTGGGTTACTCAACCATTCATACCCTGGCCAGTCCCAAAGAAGAAGAAGAATAATTTTTAGATAAACTCACAAAGACAGAATAATAAGTGTTATAAAGTTTTCATCAGCTTTGACACAGCACGAACTATGAAACACTACAGGTCAGTAAGAAATAATTGTATGATTAAATCCCGGGAAGTTAAGAGAAAACATGAGATGCACTCGTCACAAATTGTAACCTGGCGACCCAAAGAGACTATTCTCGTACATGAATTACAGAATAAGGATGCAGCACAAGATATACAACCTAAATAATGACAGAGCAACCTGAAATGTTAGAGGATGATTAGAAAATAGCACAGGCTTTTGCAAACTATTTTGGTGCAGTTTTCACTCCGTAGCTCTTTTAAACGAGGACCTAGACCAAAATACGAAGTCAACAAACCGCCTGCTCTCTGTAGACTTCGCTGGAGACGACGTATTAAAGACCCTTGGCATTTTAGTCACGGAAAAGTCAACAACCTCGAATGAACTACACCCCAAAATCCTGAGACAAATGTAGCCCCACTAACTTTGATATTCAATATGTAACTTGACCATGATGTTTCACCTACGGACTGGAAGGATGCATTCATCACTCCAATACATAAAACAGGACCAAAGCAACTCCATCAAACTGCAGACCTGTAAACCTCATCATTGTTGTAGTTAAAATACTGAAAAGAATAGTCGTTAGACCATTTATCTGGCACAGCAAACCTCCTTATAGTAAGGGAGGAATAAACAAAGGCGTTAGGCAGTTGAAAATCAGTGAATGTAGTTTGCTTAGGCTCGAGCGAAGCATCTGATAAGGTGCAAAAATGGACGACTCGTGTAAATGGGAACAGATTAATTGATTTTTGAGCATTAACAAACGCTTTTGGACTGGATGTATCTTCTCTTTTTCTGTCCACTAAATCGGGACAACTCAATGGACATAGCAGGTGAGTAGAAAATCGAAGAACGGACAAAATATCCGCAACATACTGATTTTCACACCGGTTCGTCAATTCTTTGAACCAGTTACACAAAACAGTGGTGTCCTCGACTTCAGTTGCTTCATTCAAGAGAAGACCAAACATTCACAGAAGCAAACTAAGAGAGGAATAACACAGGCCGTAGGCCTACTGTCCTCAATACACATATGTGAATCTAATGATTGGACTTCTCAATTGGATATTTAATTACTTTGTTACCTTCTGTTTGAATTGAAGGTCGGGTAGTCGTGTCATTTCTAGAGTAAGTTTTTAAGGGATTCATAGACATTTTTATTTAAATAGTCACGACAACATTAACTTGTTGACTTTCAGTTTATGAAATATCAAACGAACATGCATATATTTCTTATTACTCTTGGAGTGAGCACAACTTGTGAAAATACTTTGTCCTAGAATGAAAATAATACGTTAAAAGTCACATTAAAATTATCTACACCATCGTATGTTTTCAGTGCTTCTAGATATCTAACAAGACTTCTGGGTATTTTGCGACTCGTCCTGCGCTATCACAGGTTGACATTTACGTTTATAGTCGTATAACTCTAAACAGTACCTTAAAATTAGCGATTGTTGTGTTAAACGATGAGTCACATACAATTTATTATTCTGGCATCTTTGCGCTGCTAACCTCCATCATCAAAGTGATGGAGGAAAACTGGTGCTTGTTTATTGTGGTTTGTTTAATATGATGCTGATTTTCACCGGTCTGAAGTGCTTCAGCTTTGACTGTGCGCTTTATAGATAGTAGTCAACAAACCAAATATTACACATTTGTCTTCGAGTTATGACTTTTGGGTGAAAGTTAATATTACCTGGCTGATATAATCTAATTACCTGAACCAGATATCCATTCAAAAAGGTAACAAAAACACAATAGTAGGTGTCCTTGTATAAAATGTGGGTGTATGGCTGAGGTTTTTTTGGTAGATGACACCCTTTTGGTCACTAAAAGCCCCATCACGTGGTTCATAATAAAAGCCAGTAGTAAGTTTTCTGTAGTTTTTCTACTGTACTATTTATATGTGTATTTTAAACCTTGTTAACCGAGATGGACTTATCCCTGTCGTATTTTTTTAAAACTCGCTTCCTTTTTATTTTACACCCTACTCTTCCATTTACTAGTCATACGATCTCGTACTCCTATTTCTTTGCAACAATAGCATACTACTTTCTTGTTGTATATCCTCTTTAATGCCTTTTTTAAAACCTGGTTCGCACGTTATGTATACGTAAATGCAAGTTTGTGGGAGATAGATGGAGTCTATACTGCTTACTCAATATTTCTAAATCAGTTGCAAAATAATCCATCTGCTGCAGTACCCAGTGATCACCAAAGACCTAAATGTTCTGAATAAAAAATAATCATTATAAAATCACATTTAAGATGAATGCCACGTAGTCAGCCAGCACTGAAGTAAAATCCACCAAGATTTAAGACCATGTATCTCAAAACTGGAGTTTTCGATATTCATTAGCTAAAAGTTTTCGAATTACTGATTTTACTTAACGTTGTCTTAACAACGAAATACTTAAATAATTTTTGCTATTTCATTGTGGACGTTTTCAAAAGTGAAAAATTTAAAAGGAATTAAAATAGAGCAAGAACAAACACTGATACAGAATAGTATGAATTCATAATATTTCGAGGTTAAGTTATCTTAACTTTTCAACTTCTATTTAATTATCATTACGTGACCTATCTTATCATTATTCAATTCCATTAATCACCAAAATTATCACACAATTTATGAACTTCACTAAACCATTACAACACCCTCCCAAAATTAATCCTATTTTTTTAACTTCTGACCTGTTCTAGCATATATATATATATATATATATATATATATATATATATATATATATATATATATATAGTTGTTATTGTAATCCAGTTATTTACACTCACTTGCTTCACACTATTTCAATGTAAAAATTCTATCACATTTTTGGTTGTAAGCAGCTGATGAGAAGTTGACAAAGTCGTTCAAAGTGAAGACCGGTGTTAGGCAAGGTTGCTTACTCTCACCCTTTCTCTTTCTCCTGGTGATCGACTGGATCATGACGTCAACGTCTGAAGGAAAGCGCGGGATACAATGGACATCTAAGATGCAGTTGGATGATCTAGACTTCGCAGACGATCTGGCCCTTCTATCCCAAACGCAACAACAGATGCAGGAGGAGACAAACAGTGTGGCAGCAGCCTCAGCAGCAATAGGTCTCAATATACACAAAGGGAAAAGCAGGATTCTCCGATACAACACAGAATGCACCAATCCAATCACAATTGACATAGAAGATTTGGAAGATGTAAAAACCTTTACGTATTTGGGCAGCATCATTGATGAACAGGGTGGATCTGATGCAGATGTGAAGGCGCGGATCGGCAAAGCAAGAGCAGCATATTTACAACTGAGGAACATCTGGAACTCAAAGCAACTGTCAACCAACACCAAGGTCAGGATTTTCAATACAAATGTCAAGACAGTTCTACTGTATGGGGCAGAAACTTGGAGAACTACAAAAGCCATCATCCAGAAAATACAGGTGTTTATTAACAATTGTCTACGCAAAATACTTCAGATCCATTGGCCGGACACTATTAGCAACAACGTACTGTGGGAGAGAACAAACCAGATCCCAGTGGAGGAAGAAATCAGGAAGAAGCGCTGGAAGTGGATAGGACACATATTGAGGAAAGCACCCAACTGCGTCACAAGACAAGCCCTCACTTGGAATCCTGAAGGCCAAAGGAAAAGAGGAAGACCAAAGAACACATTACGCCGGGAAATGGAGATAGACATGATAAAAATGAACAAGAATTGGATGGAACTAGAAAAGAAGGCTCAGGACAGAGTGGGTTGGAGAATGCTGGTCAGCGGCTTATGCTCCATTGGGAGTAACAGGCGTAAGTAAGTAAGTAAGTAAGCTGATGAGAAACCTCGAAATATTATGAATTCATACTATTCTGCATCAATGTTTGTTCTTGCCCTATTTAAATTCATAAAGGGAGCCAATTGCATGAAATTTCTAAAAAGAATTATTCTTTAATCTGAAAAATGTTGTTTGACATCACCCTGATAGACCTGGCTGCGAATTATAAAGACCAAAATCAGCACATCGTTTCCACATGAAATTTTGTAAATCTGTAATTATATTTACAGGATCAAAATTTTTAATGGATAAAATAATGATCACATAAAATAAATCCGTATTCGAATCTCAGTTTTCAGTCAGTCAGTCAGTCAGTAACAACGTAAGATTTCGTACGTACTTGCATCAGTTAGAGTTGCCACACCACATTAGCACAGAGATGCAGTTGTCGATTCAAATCCCGTAGTGGTAGAGGTAATAAGAGTATAAGCAGTAATCGGGAAGATTAGGGTTTGGAGATGTTATTTAAAGAGTATAATCCAGTGAAATAAATTTGGAAAGAGGAAAAAGAGACATGAAGAATTCAGAAGATTAGAATTTGGGAGAACACAGAGAGTGGATGCACCTGCACCATTGCAAACGATTTTGAGCCATGTCATTCAGGGTCTCTAACCATCGGTTGCTGTCATCTCGCGGTCCCCAACCAGGTAGTCTACACCTACCAACATGACTCAGTTCACTTGTCAGTGTAATGTATATGTTTGCAATTCTGAGATGGTTTCATTTTTTAACATTTACTTTACCCCACGCTTTCTACTTCAGGGTGTACATCTAGTATTTTATTGGCAACATTGAATCGATCTTCCTAAACCAATGTTTATAATATTCTTCTCCCTCCTATTTCTTGACTATGTTCGTGGGGAAGTAGTATGGGCCGTTAATTGTGGTGGCCCTAAACACATCGATTCACATGGAGTCGAATATAAAGCTGATTTCTTAGACATGGGTACTGCATCGGACTACGGCCGCTCGTTCGCAATAAACCGTGTCCCCTCAGCAGATCATATAATCTATCAAACTGAACGGTATCACAACGAAGACTTTTCTTATCCTATTCCGATAACATCTGATGGAGAATACATTCTTACGTTAAAATTTTCTGAGGTTTGGTTTACTGAGCGTTATCAAAAAGTGAGTTAAATAATTTATGTATTCTCTCACTGGACAGTGAAGCCAGTTTCTTCGGTTTATTTTATTGCCAATATCTCATAAAGTTTTTGTTTCAATGTCAGTGCCACAGCTAAGCACCTTTAAATTATTTTGTGTATTGAATTTAGATTAGTTTGTTTCTTATTTTGCATGAAATGAATAACCGAGGTAGTCACCGCTATTATTGCTAGTAAAAGTTTGGATTATCATGCTGTTGATATTCAAAAACGGAATTTCGGTTAGTCTTTCTTGTCGCTTGTGGATCTCGTGCACATTACTTCGATATAGCCACTTTGTGTAGAAGACTTCCGCGCATTCTGGAATACATGTTTAAACTCTCATCATGCTCTAATACGATCACGCATTCGATTGTGCCGACGCAGAAAAGTAATATTAAGAAGACTTATTAGTATTGAACTCAGCGACAAGAAAGTTAGCGGTAAATTTAATGAACAACTGAAGTCAAATTTAGGCAATTTTTAAAACGAAGCTAACCTAGATGTTGCTTAGAAAGATATACGAACAGTTGTAGAAACAGCAGCGACATCTACTGTTGATTTGAATCAAAGGGTTACCAAAAACCAGTAGATCTCTGCTACATCTATTGCACTAATAGACTCTCGTAAACTTATTCCATTAGGATCCGAACACAATGACGAGCGAAAACAAACCAGATCTAGGTTGACCAAAAGTCTACAAAATGATCGTGACCAGTGGTGGGGAACGACAGCAAAATAGGTGAAAAAGGCAAAAGCTGTAGATAACACGACAGCCTTTCAGATTAATAAAAAAATCGGAATTAACGAGTCAAGTGTGATAAAATCTCGGAAAATTACGACGCTTATCTGCTCTCAATCGAGATGATTAGAACGATGGGCGGAACACTTTAAAAAGCAGTTCAGCTGGTCTTCAGTTAATCTACAACTATCCACAGCCTGAATGGAAGATTAAAGTAGGTCCCTCGATTCTAACTGAAGTTCAAAGGCTATAGCTAATCTGAAACGAGGAAGAGCAGCTGGTCCAGATGGATTGGCTCCAGAGGTCTTTAAGAATGGTGGTCCAATTTTAGCGATTAGGTTGACTAATATGTTAGCTAAGATCTGAGAGTTAGAAGTTATTCCATCTGACTGGTCACAATCACTTATCGTCCCAATATATAAGAGAGGGTCAAAATCATCCTGTGACAACCATAGAGGGATTAGTTCGTCTAATATAGTATCTAAAATACTAGCCTCGATAATTATCAGACGCCTAATTAAGACTAGTGAACTGCAGATACTAGAGAATCAAGCTGGCTTCAGACCTGGTCATGGCTGCACCCCACATATATTCACCATTCGTCAGGTTCTAGAACACAGGCATACTTATCGGCGTCCGACAATGGTGGCCTTTCTCGACTTAAAAGCAGCACTTGACTGTAGATCGAGAAGTTTTGTGGCAGTGTCTGTCATTGAAAAGTGTACCTCAGAAGTACATAAACCTATGTCGAAGGCGAGATATCCGTCTACCAATAAAAAGACGAGTATACTGCGCGGCAGTCCGTTCTGTTTTAATTTACGGTAGCGAAATAATTTAGCGTTGAAAGTCGATATAGGAGGAATAATAGGAATTGAAGAGGTAGGTTGATTGTGAATACAGTGGGCTTGACAGCTGTTAGAGGTATGAGGGTGGTTATCACTTCCCGGTTACCCAAACCATGGAAGGGTTCTTCTGGAGGTACCTGAAAAGGAAATTGGATTCGACGTGGTCTTAGTGACCTTGGAGCGTGACCGCAGTGCCCAAGGGACAACTGCTTGAGGTCGGTCACACAACCTTTTTATGGGTAATTTTTGTGTTAGCTCCGTACTTATTGAGACCTTACCGCCGGAGACGGATATCCGTGGGATAAGGCGAGGTGTGCATTTTTAGGGTCGACCTTTTCTAACCCCACCCCTCCTTGTGGGAAGGCAGCATCGCTGTCATGCTGGTTGTCCGAAGGAAACACCTTACTGCTGTCACACCTCTGTACAGTCAGCAGTACGACTTCGCCTTCGGACCTTGGGTTTGTTGCTTTCAGTCTTATCGCTCTTCAAACGATCTGTCTGACATGGTAGGACCTTGAGGAACGGTTGTTCCAGCCAATATAGCTCGGTTGCTTCACGATAAGCGAGCCCGACCACCACGTCATGGTAGCAACAACGGTCGGGAATTTATTGCCTAGGAAAGTTTATTTATTAGCTTACGGACTATAGGTATTTTGGAGTTCTAGTTTAATTGCTCATACATTCAGTTTTCAACTATGCTTCAATTAACAGAGGTATTGGTCATGAGATTTTACCTAAGGTTACATTTTTAGTGACAATCCAAATCAATCAGGGTGTATATGTCTAAGCTAGACTTGTTGCTCGTCAATACTATTATTGCTTCCTTTTTATGCAGACATGCGTTTTTCTTATCTTATTCATATGCAGATAAATCGGTTCAAAATTTTTTCCTAAACACACACAACAGTTTAAATCATGTCTGTACAGTATTTTCTTTTTTCGAAAAATGAAGTCGTTAACGGTTGATAATAAGTGCATTGTGTTACCCATCGATTTCTTCTGTACTTAAGTACTTAAACCTGGTTCATTTATATTTTTGTACCAAGACATTATGCCTTTCAGTTAAAATCATTCCGTGATTAAAATTCACATACTGATATACATTAATTACAGAGGTTAGTATTAAACTATACTAACGGTACTAATTATTACCGGTTGATAATAAGAAAGTAGTTAATACAAAAAATCACTATATAAATATGAGTCGCAATGAAAACAACAAGCTAAGTTCTGTGCTACAAAATAGCGTCTGTAAAATATGTAGTGTAGTAACTTAATACAGTATAAGTTAGTTGATAAATGGCCGTCGCATGCACTACGAAATTTAGGTCAAAGATAGAATTTCTGTGTATATTGAATCATTAGTTTAAATTTAAAAAATTAAAAAAACTCACTTTCTGGATATTTCATAACTATTTATTTTCTATAATTAATTCCAGCAAACGTTTGCTAGTATTTAATCAGTCTTTTCCCCCGAGGGAAATGCTCTTACATCGGCATGTGTATACAGACACTGTCAGGGAAGACACATTCATTGCCTTCTCTCGGCCTGGGTGTTGTTTACGAAATGTAGGGGAGTCGCAAGACTCTGATTCCGAACCAATAGTTCACATGTGCTTCAGGAACCTAAGGGAACAAATGATATATGAACCTATTGTTGGTCACCGGCTACTATGGGACTGCATCTCCTAAAGTTGTTCCACTGCCTTGTGGATTAGACTTCTAGTTCAAAGGCTCGGGGAGTGGCCCCCTTAAGAAAAATACCGGTTTCGGTTTGGATCCCCGGGAAGTATTCCAGCACAGCGCATATATATTCGGTGCCTCCTTGTATAAATGTTTATACGTTTATGTAGATAAATAATAAATCAATCATTACTGAATCTCTATCATGTTTTTTGATATCACCCCAGGTATTCGATGTTCATATTCAAAATTCACTCCCACTTGTTCAAAACTTGGATATTTTTGGTCAAGTTGGCTTTGCTACTGCGTTCGATTTAAATGTGCCACTTAAAATAAAAGATGGAGTAATATATATTGGTGAACACACAGTCAATATCGATGACGATCATTTTACTGTGGACTTTATTAAAGTAACCTAAAATTGATAATATTCTATTTATTTTTTTCGTTAAGACTCAATTTGATAATCCGAAAATCAATGCTATTGTTGTTACTAAAGGCTCAATAGAAGGTAATCTTTTCTTATGTATACTGTTTTGTTATAGTTTAGAATCAATAGTTATTTTACTCAATTATCTCTCAGTATTATCTTTTCTAGTTCCGTTTCTATACTTTCAGTATATATATATATATAATAGATTTCAATTTCACGAGAACCTTTTTGGTTACTTCCTTGTCTAACATCAGCACTAAATAGGCGCAAGCTATGTTTTGCCTAAAAGTCACATTTTTAGGCTCTTTGAACTAACCAAATAATACACACATCCTAACATATTTAGTAGTTTAAACAATTCACCAACAAACACAAAAATTGTAATCGGCATTAATTAGTTCTGGTTACTCGTAACGTTAATGTCATACCCATGCTGTATAAAATTATTATCAGCTAAATACGCCTTGATGCTGTTAAATGTTTTCAAAATAGTGATTCAACCTGACTTGGTCATTCGGCTGATAAAATCGATTTGAGTTTTCAGATGTTGATTGAAAGAGACAAATCAGTTTTTAATCCGATCGACGTGGACCAGTTGAAATACCTAAACAAAGTTTCGTAATCATGTGCCAAACATTTATATTTGATATCAATACTGGTTGTCTTATTATTATTAATTTTCATAAAGATTCTGTATAACTATTTAAGATCTTGGAATTAGGTCATGGAGCTTAATCGTTTGTGTACTTTATTAAAGTGGGGATTATCATAACCCTTGAAAAACAGTTTCGTTCAATGGCTGTTTACAAAGAAACCGGTGAGGCCCTACAATGACTGAAGCTCATTACTGAGTGCTTAAAATGTTTTTATTCAGGGTATCAATTTTCACATCTTATCTTAGATGTCAATCTAGACAAATTTACTTTCGTCTCTTTAACCTTCGTTGAATGAATGAATTTCATGGGTTTAGGGATTTCATTGGATAGTTTTTAAGCTGTAAAAACAATTTCAGAGGTACCGCTTTTAGTGTCTATTGTAGTTATGTCCAAATACTAATAGGGTTTGATGTATGCATACCGTTTGTTTATTGAATTAATGTATAAGCGCGTGATTGTTCTCTAATATAGTATAATTTTTTATAGACAATTTTTCCAAAAAGAAGTTATCAAAACTCATCACTTTGTGATAAGTGTAGAGTTATGCATTTGTTCACTTGTCCTTTATCATCTCATGATTTATATGGAGATGTTGAGAAACCATGATTCCAAGATGGTTTTTGATGGTGAATTAAGAGATCTCGCTTAACTTGAATACTCTCAAGACTTAATGTATGCGACACGATACTTAGATCATTGTGTCGGAATCGTACGGTTGTTCTTTTCAACTCCAGTTGATTCGTTACCTGATTTTCAGTGTGTTTTCCGGATGAAGTAAATTATCAGCTAACTAGTGTTTATACGCTTCTGTTCCTAGTATGGATTTAATATGTCATAAATCATTTTAAGTATCTTTCCATTATCTAGATGTCCCTCAATTACCACCGTTAGAAGAAGTAGAAACATTTGATCAACAGGTGTTACATCCCCATAAGTTACCTGATTCTGATGATGAAGAAGAAGAAGACCTGGAATCTGTGCAACAGAGACCATCTAGAACACCAAGAGCAAAAGATCCTTATGCTTCTGTGGACTATTCCTATTTAATCTTACCTATTATAGTATCGGTTGGAGCATTTCTACCAATTCTCTTTTGTTTATGTAAACTTTAAAGAAAAATACAATAGGTAGTTTCTGTTGGTATTATTGGTGATGTCTTTATTATTGTTGTTTTGTTTTTGTGTAATTTCTATAGGTTATTCACATCTTTTGTAAGGTATATGCACTTGCTTTATTTTGTCTTTCTCGAAGCTAAAATGTTTATTCTATGAACTGTACATTGTTTGACAAAATTCACATATCATTAATCTTACTGTATAATAGTATACTTATTCTTAAGTGTTTTTTAAATGTGTGATTCTTCAGATAGGTTTGCTGTTTATTTCTGTTGTATTTTTTTTGCTGTTTTAGTAATTAGAGTTAATAAAGAGGGTTGTAAGTAATTAATGGATATATGAGGTTATGTAGTAAGTGAAATCATTCTACAAGGATTCACTCCCACAATAAAAAAATAGTCATATTAACAATAACTGTAAACATAATCTAATACTTCTGTATTGTTGGTTGTATTATATGAGTGTTTTATTTCAACTTGTAATAAATTGTCATTGAAACTGTTATTATCATTTCAGTATCCAGTGAAATAATTCATCTGGCATTATACTCCTAGTATGCATCTCCAGGGTATTATATTTCAGGATTTTAAGGATGTTTGCTATTGCGATTATTAGTGACCTTGCTCATTATTCATTCTTTGTAGGATATGTACGGATGACTTAAAAAAGATTTTTATTATCAGTAAATATTCTCAAACAGATGAGTTATTTTTTAATTGATTTATAGATTTCCTGAGGTTGTAAATACTATTTGACAGCTTAATTCTGTAGGTCAGTGAAACCCAATGGAAATTATAAAGTATTACATATTTCTTTTTCAAAAGTAGCCTTACACTAAACGACATCTTTGGGTAAACAAAAATAAAATAGTGTTAGAAGAGGTTTTGTGGAGATTTTAGTAATTTCAATAGTTGAAATCCTGAGTCTATTGAAGCTAGTTGCTGCCTCTTGACCACCTGGCTTCAGTATCTCATTATCGCTCATTTCTAGCATAACTAACGATTTAGATATTTCGAAAAATATTAGAAATGTGATGAGATCGGACACCACTTCGAAAGGTAATGTTCATATTCAAAAGCGATCATATACATCCCTTGATTCGATTCATGACTTGATTGGGGACACAGGTAGTATAGAGTTCATTATTTCATCCAGAAACTTAAAATCTTTAGATCCTAACGTTGTGGTTAGACTCACTGAAGTCTCAATATTGGGGATTACTGGACACAGTCTATCCATACAAAGATGCTGTGAATTGCTAATAAGAGATGTTAATTCTTTATGCATATGTAGAATCCGAACTGAGGTTTGAACTGAAGAACAACTGCCCAAGTCGTTTAGATATGCGCTATTGTCCAGTCGAGACCAAAACAAGATGATTGGGTAAATGACAGTTCACCCAGTTATTCAACCTATAGTTGTTCAATTAGTGATCAAATCGAGCGCAACAAATGAATGTTATTCTATCCCTTCTGGATAGATCACGTACAGATTCGTTCAAAAAATAATATTTGGTTGCTTTATAACACAGTGTTTCTAATTCTGGAAGTGTTTCAATTCACAATCGAAAATGCACAGTTCTAGTCAATGCAAGCAACACAATCAAAGGGGGAACAAACCGATATGGCTGCCATCTAAACTAAGTATCAACTAAAACAATATAGATGCAGTTCAGGGATAAACGTGGAAACTCAGTGACGGCGTAGTAAAACTATAAACAAACTGACCTGTAATTGTTGGGAACTTAGTTGAAAGGAAATATTCTTTCTCTCTATTTGTTCACTTGTTTAACTCAACGATGATTATACTTTTGGTAATGACTGCCAAAGAAATCCAGAATACACATTTTACTCACTTTGGTACTCATGAAGTGTAGTTTTAGTTAAACTCTACGGGATTCAGGTGTCTTTATAAGAACTCCAACTCACTTAAGCTCGATAGCTTTTTTGTCATGAAAAAAAATGTATGGCAGGCATGGATCGTAAAATTAAGTTTATTATGTGCTAGTTGTAAAGTATTACCATCAAATTGTCAAGAATCCATAGAAGTATGCGATTGATACTTCGAGGTTACTCACTTCATGGGACCTCAATTTCTCCGTGAGACTTGTGAATGCGAACACAGAACTCGATGAAGGACTACCATGAAAACTAAGTATCAACTAAAATAATGTAAATGCAGTTTAGGGATAAACATGGAAACTCAGTGAAGGTGTAAGGAATGTAAACACTATTATATAATACGAATTCTACCATCTCAATTGGAATAAGATATGACTTATATAATATGCAACTGAAGGAATCAATAAGGCCAAACTGTTGGGTATCAAATGACCTTTAATTGATTTGCTCACTTTGTGTCTGAAGATTCGACATTCTGTGGTCAGGGTTAAACTCACTTTTCCTCAGGCTATGAAGTGTCTTAGTGGGGTTCCCTCAGTATTTAATACCAGGATATCTTATTTTCTTAATTTTTATAGACGACCTTCCACAACAGGTATCCTCAGACTTATTGCTTTTTGCTGATGATGTGAGACTTTGGAGAGAGATACGCAACCGTGAGGATATACTGGCACTTCAGGACGATCTGACCCGACTTCAAATTCGAGCAGACGACAACGGACTTACCTTTAACACTTCAACATGTAAAGTAGTCTATCTGAGACATTTTGCAGACTACAGTTTCAACTCAAGAAACTCCTCTCTAGTAGCATTCCGAGTCGAAAAAGATTTAGGAGTTCTGTTACCCTACGATTTCAAGTCTTACGCTAACTGTGACAAAAATGCCTTTCGAGCAAACCTTGCACTGGTAACATTGAAGCGCATTTTGGGCCAGTTTGACGGAAGAACTTTCCACATAATCTTCAACGGTTTCATTCGTTCCCATTTAGAATACGGAAACATAGTATTTCCTCCCTCACTCCAAAAGCAGAAGGACACTTTGAAGAGTATCCAACGGCGAGCCATGAAATCAGTTCGGGGACTCGAATCCAAGCCTTATGAAGAGCGTCTCCAGTCACTAAACCTTTACCCATTACAGTATAGGCGTCTTAGAGGTGACCTTCTAATGAATGGCCTACAGTAACCTTAACACTTCTGGACATTCCCTTAAACACCCAATTAAGTTTACCTGCGACAAAAACATAAGGGTTAACACCCAGGAACTAGAGACACGACACAGCAGAGCGGACTGTAGCCACAAATTCTGCTTCCCAAGAGTTGTGAAACGATGGAATTCGCTGTCGACTGAGCTAGTCCAAGCGACTTTTCAGGAGTCCTTTAAGAGGCAACATGACCTATTCTTAAGGACTAAGGATAATATTGTAGAATTATGGTTTACTATTATATTAGTACTGCTCTAATAATAGACCTTATCCCAAAATTGTAGATTCGTCATGATATAAATGCCTAATCTATAAGATCTTACATGGAAGTCACACCATCGACTTCACGAACTCACTGTATCGTATCAATTACCAATACATGATGTAGAACAAAGTCAGACTAGAGAAAGAACAACATATTTAATATGAATAGAAGATATAAGGTAACATTCAGATGGACCACGCCTGCATGGTCGAGCCATGCCATTTGATCAACTCCAGTCCATTCAATTCGTTGTTCGCGCCTTCTCCATTGTTAGGTATTTCTCCATGTTAAATATTGAATATCTACTTTATGAGTAGTCTTGTGTTCAGCTTTGAAGATTGTTTGGTTATAGTCTAATGCCACTACAATATCTTACTACGATTTACCAATTACGTTTTCCTCTATTATCGTTAATATGCCTAGGTTCGTGCCTGGAGGTGTCGATGATCCACGGCTACTTAACACGGAATCGCGTTAAGCGGAATCCTCTTGAATTACGTCCAAAACCATGTGAACGGAATTCTGATTTCACAGTCCAGGCATTCAGAGAGGTGTTTGTTCCAGAATGGGCCCTCATGGTGTTGGTGACCGATCATAACTCTCATTATGCTGCGGATCCTGTCGCCATCTCGAGAAATGTTATAAGGTGTGAACATGTTTTTATGGCTTTCATGCGGGATTGTTCTGATGGTCAGAACATTGATATCTGCTATTGATTCTATTGACGCTTCAACATTTAATCAACTGGAAAGGTGAGTAGATACATTCTTTCTGCAAAATAGAAATGATAAAAATTCTGTAACGGAAGAGACTCAATCAAAACTATTAAAAGGAAGAATTCTTCCTTTGAATATTATGTGTTTGATTTCTGCAGAAATTACATATTATCAAGCAAGAGATCTTTAGCCAGCCACGTGGATTTTGGTGAAAAATGTGGATTTGAAATGGTTTGAAATCTAGATATTAATGAGTTAGTTACACACAGCCGACATGTTGATCAAATACGTTTCCAGGGTGCACAGTTGCACAGACACAGCATGAACCTGAGAGGAAGTGCAATCGATTACGGAAATTTCGATTCCAGATTAACTTGCAGGATGTGGTACTTGCGTGAACTAATGATTCTGTTGTTCATGATGACTGCTTGATTTCGAATTTCAAATACAGTACCTTCGTTCGTGCTCATCTAGTAAATTTTCCTTGAATTAAGTTGTTTCTGTGGCTCCTAGCTTGTACAATAATCCAAATACTTCTAATTATCACAGTTACCTGCTCGAAATTCTGTGCGGATGTGTGACAAAGCGCTTCAGACAAGACTGTGTTCAGCGAAACAAATGAGGTCAGCATCAATGTCAAAGACTTAAAGAGCGATTTATTTTAGTGATTTATTTACCGTGCCTATTTAATGACTGATGATGTCTCCTAAATTCTTGAGGATACAGTTAATACCTGGTTGAATGATATATGGTGTAAACGTCTGTACACTGCTCCAAGGTTTTTGTCTTAATAGTCGAGTGGAAAATTTCGACATTGAAAACCGCTAATTATTTGATTGCTTCCTCAAAATTCAATGAATTCGAAGGGAGAAATGGACACTTCTGCAATATAGAAATTTTAAACGGAGAAGCCTCCATCGAAGTTGTTAGAAAGAATGATTTTACTTCCCGATATGAAACGCCTTGTCTACAAACTTTACATACTATTATGGGGATGATCTTCAACCGGACACGAAGATTTTGATGGAGAATGTTGGAAAAATTTAAGGTTCGTTTTCTAGATACCAATAATTTAAAAACGCACAACAGACATGTTGATCAAATACATTTTCATGAGCCAGGTGTGTCTGTTCCCGTTTCAGTTATTAATTCTTCGTCAAATGAATGTATTCTAGATCAGATGGTCTATACCCAATGCAAAGCCGGACATACAAAACAGAGCCTAAGTGAATTACAGTCAATTATATGAATGTGGATTACCATGTGAGCTGTGGAAATCTTGGTATTTGAACAAACTGATTTCTTTGCACTCGTTTGCGTCCGTATCACGGATTTTCAATGTAATACATGCAGTTTCGCTCACCCAGTTTGACCTGCCTTCAATCGGACTGTTGTGGGAATTCATAGAAAATCAAATCAATCAGTCGGAATATAGTGGTCTTGACAGCTGTTAGAGG